TCGCTGGTTGGCTGCTCGGGAGAGCTACAGACCAATCTTGATTTGGAGGAAGGATCAAGTGGGGCCCGACTTTGTTTTTTACTTTTGTTGACAGCTTGTTGTCATTTTTTTGGTGCACTGTGCACCTTTACCCTCTTTTTTTTTTCTTGAAAGCAGCATACATCTTTTTGACCAGACACATCTCACGTACATCTCTCTTTTTTTTTTTTTGTTGGCTGGAGAGTAACAACCCATTCTTGTAATATATAAATATTTTTTACCACTTTGAACAGTGAATTGTAAATTTGTGTGGTAAATGTCTGAGGTAAAATGTCGGAATATGATCTTGGAACGATTTTGTCTTATTGGCTATTTTGTGAGATGTACAAGTAACATAGCTGTGTGCACAAACAAATGTTTCAGGTAATTAAATTGTATGCAGAAAAAACTCAATCTGTAGAGATTTTCTGGTTATGTATGGGTGTGAGATGAGGCAAGATTTTATAAAAATTTCTTTTCTACTCAAAACACCAAAATATATTGAAGATAGGGCAGGAACTCGTGAAAACCACCCTCTTTTTTTTTCTTCTCCAAGCTTTTAAGCAACTTGAATGTATAGAAAATCATAATCTACATGAGATTTTCTAAAAAATATATGAACTAAGCTGGGGTAAAAACCCATAAAAAGCTCTTTTCTCCATCCCTTTTTTTTGAAGGTTCTGAGACGTCAACACAACTAGGTGTACAACCAATTATTGCAGAGATGGGATTACACACAAAAAATCATATCTAAAAACGATTTTTGATAATATGTGAACTGAAAATGAAACAAAAAATCTTAAAAACTTCTTTTCTCCCCACTTGCTGGACAAATCCCATATTAAAAATAAAAAACGGATCTGAGGTGGGATGTTGCTCATGAAACTTCTTTTTCTTTTCAGCTTGCTCAACAAGCTATCAAGATATGAGCAAAGAGTAGATCTATAAAAAATATTTGTTTTCCTTCTTTAAGCTTTGAAGAAAACACTAAATAAACAACAAAATTTCTTTTCTGATCAAACTTGCTGGAAAGACAACAAAACAAAAACGAATTTGATAGGGTTTTCTTCCCATAAACTTTCTTATCTTCTCAAGATGTGAGCAAGAACAGATCTGGAAAAAATTTCGTGTCTCTTCTCTAAACTTCTAAAGAAAGCACCAAAACAACTTATATGAAGTTGTACATAAGATTTTGCAAACTGATGGTGGTTTCTTGATAACATAAACTGAAAGTAAAGTAGATAATTACGAAAAAAGTTCTTCAACTCTCAAGTTGCTTGGATAAAACACCAAGATATGAACAAAGACGAAGAAGAGCTCCTGAGAACTTCTTCTTTCCCCGAAAATATGATTAAAACGGGTCTGAGTTGGTGTTTTGAAACTTGAGAGATGATTAAGTAAACAAAAACTTTCAAATCTAGAGATCTGAGCTAAAAATGAAGTAGATCAACAGATCTGAAGAAAAAGTCATCAGATCCAAAGATCTGAAACATAGCTAACCACGTCTGGATATATCTTTGCCAAGATCCAAACGAATCTGAACTAAGGAATGTAGAAATGGACAGATCTGAGCAAACCTTAGATGAAAACACATCAGATCTGAACAGATCTGGGGAAAAACTAAAGCATTTGGACAGATCTTGGCAAGAACAAAGCGGATCTGAACCAAATGATGCTAAACATTAACAGATCTGGTCAAACCTGAGCTGAAGCACAACAGATCTAAACAAATCTAGGAAAGAACGAGATGATGGCTGCTCGTTCGAGTCCGGGATGGCGCCAAATGATGCGACATCGACCTCCGGAGGGTCTTCTGGTCTGCTGCTGCGGCGGAGATCTGGACATCACAATCAGAGAGACGCGTTAGAGCCGACCCAGGGGTTGTGCCCCGGGAGCGGGCTCTGACGGTCAAGTTAGATCAGCTGGAAGATCTGAGATGGTCCTCCATAGCTGGAGAGAACCATTTTGGTGCCAGTGGTGGTGTATGGTGGCTGACGGCGGCGGGTGGCGGCTGAGCCACCCGAACGGAGTTTAGGGCGGCGGCTGAGGCAAGGGGAAGATCCCCCTTCATGGAGGAGATATTATTAATTATACAGGGGAAAATTAGGTCAATGGGAATTAGGTCAGGCCTTGGGCGAGCCTAATTTAGGCCCAACTAGCACAGAGCTGGGCGAGGCCGCCCGGAGGCGCCGGGCGAGGCTGGCGGGCGCGCATCAGGCAAGGCTGGCGGGCGCGCACCAGGAAAGGCTGGCAAGGGAGCGCCAGGCTAGGCCGGCAGGAGAGTCCGCAGCAGAGCTGGCAAGGGAGAGCCAGGCCAGGCCGGTGGGAGAGTCCCCAGCAAGGCTGGCAAGGGAGTCCCCAGCAAGGCTGGCAAGGGAGCGCCAGACAAGGCTGGTGCGCCGGAGCTGTCTAGGCCATGCTAATGGACTATATATCAACAATATCCTTGACTAAAGATGATTAAAACTCAATCTAAGCTTTTAGAATTGAAATGAAGTATAATTTCCTCTCCCTTAATTATAGCAAAACAACTTTTCAAACCCTGCAAAGTCACGAATTGAGACTTTTGTTTTCTATAATGAACACTTAACATAATAATCATGCTCCCACTAACATGATAATTATTAGCATAACACTTATGCTCCCACTAGCTTTGACATGTATCCAGAAATCAGCTGGACTTCTAGAAATCAATACTTTATTGACTTTCTTACCAAAGTTCAGAGTTCTGATACACGATGCTTTGATAAAAACTTTATCAAAATCATACACCTTTCCTTAGATAGCTCACATGTGTGTCTAAACAATTTTTAGAACTATGAAAAGGGATGTCGTAATCATAGTCTCGATTATTTAGACCTTTGTCATTTCTCACAAGTCCATGTTAATGTGCCGGTCAACCACACACGTTCCACTAACGACTTTGAGAATGCAAATATCACAATTGCTATCTACTTAAAATCTACTTAGTGAAAGCATTTCCTCACCATCATTTTCATGAATCGGAGAGAAACCTAATGACACTTAAATTTTATGGTGTATGTGTTCCTATCCATGTGAATTTGTCAAAACCAAAATCCCAAGACAAGGTTAGTGACAAATTCAAACTCATGTGGACTGAACTTGTTCATTCTTAATTTCTTGCCACCTGGCAGCACAAGGGCCTACCATTGCTTCTAGGTTGTTATGCAGCCAATTGAGAACTCTCAGAACTTATATGCAAAGCCAACTTTAACTGGAATGGGCATTGATGCGACATCGACCTCTGGTGTATCTTCTGGTCTTCTGCTGCGGCGGAGATCTGGATATCACAATGCAAAGTCGTTATAGCCGTCCCATGGACTGTGCCCCGGGAGCGGACTCCGACGGTCAAGTTAGATCAGCTAGTAGATCTGGGATGGTTCTCCATAGTTGGAGGGAACCATCTTGGTGCTAGTGGTGGTGTATGGTGGCTGACGGCGGCGGGTGGCGGCTGAGCCACCCGGCCGGAGTATAGTGTGGCGGCTGAGCCATGGGGTCTAGTGGTGGTTGAGAGCCACATGGGGAAGAGTCTTAGGGAAAAGGGTTCTAGTGGTGGCTGAACCACTTGGGAAAGAGTCCTCCTTCATGGAGGAGGCACTATTCTATTTATAGTGGACAATTAGGTCAAGGGGAATTGGGTCAGGCCTTGGGCCAGCCCAATTCAGGCCCAACTAGCAAGGAGCTGGGCAAGGCTGCCCGGAGGTGCCGGGCGGGGATGGCGAGCGCGGCCCAGGCAAGGCTGGCGGGCATGCACCAGGAAAGGCTGGAAAGGGGGCGCCAGGCAAGGGAACGCTAGGCCGGGCTGGCAGGAGAGTCCCCAGCAAGGCTGGCAAGGGAGCGCCAGGCAAAGCTGGTAGGAGAGTCCCCAAAAAGGCTGGCAAGGGAGCGCCAGGCAAGGCTGGCAAGGGAGCGCCAGGCAGGGCTGGCAGGAGCGCGCCAAGCCAGGATGGCGCTCTAGAGCAGTCTAGGCCATGCTAATGGACCATATATCATCAAGTCCCCCAGTCTGATGTTATTGGTACACGGCCAATAAATCGTGCTTCGTCAAGTCCCCCTAGTCTGATACGATTGGGTTGCTGACAATCGGATCGGACTAGATAAAGCACCAATACATTAAATAATAGATAGAATGACCAAACCTCGCCCACGAGAGTCGTGGGATTGTGCGATGAGCGAAACATTGCTTATGCAGCTTGAGCTGACTTGATAATCCCTCACTGAGAGGAGTGTGATATGGTTGGTGTGACGCAACACAACTGTTGTTGCGGTCATGTAGAGCAAAGCTGTAAATAATGTTATTGCGGAGCGGGGTTGTTGTATGACATGGATGTTGTGGCGTTTCTATCGTTTTGGAGGAATGTCATCGATAATTATCTTCACAGTCTGTTTTGCATGAGCATTGATAACCATTCAGAAGGTGTTTCTTGCTCGAGCTATTCCTAGCTGGATTCCCCCAGTCTGATGTGGGTAGCGTAGGTAGCCGTATCAGACTATGGTGCATAGGCAAGGTTGTTATAAAGATACACAATGAGGTTGTTTTCTATGATAATAGACAACCAGATGTAATGTAGGAAACGCCTTATTGATCGTCCGAGCATGGGAAAACCATGTTGATTATAAGAGAAGAGACACCAAAGGTGGTGCTAAGCATGACCTGAATTTACGATCCGCATCTTACGATGCGCGACGGTACGCGACTTATGTTGTGCGGCTTAGAAGAATAGTATGGGCTTAGCAGCCAACGATCATGGAGATGTCACACGGGAGAGCATCGCGTGGAATAGATTGGGTTTGGCTGCCAGCGATCGTAGATAAATCACGCGGGAGCGCATCGCGTGGAATGAATCGGGCTTGGCTTCCAGCGATCATAGATAGATCACGCGAGAGAGCATCGCGTGGAATGGATCGGGCTTGGCTGTCACCTATCATAGATAAATCACGCGGGAGAGCATCGCGTGGAATCATATAGCTAAAGGTTGCAAGCCTTTGAGCCTCGTCGATGGAGCATGCTGCTTTAGTGGAACCGGGATGGGGAGCCAGGCGACTCGAGGCGAGGGTACTGAACCTCGCATGCGGAGCTTGCCGCTATAATGGAGTCGGGCTGAGAAGCCAGGCGACTCGAGGCGAGGGTATTGAACCTCGCATGCGGAGCTTGCCGCTATAATGGAGTCGGGCTGAGAAGCCAGGCGACTCGAGGCGAGGGTATTGAACCTCGCATGCGGAGCTTGCTGCAATAATGGGGTCGGGCTGAGAAGCCAGGCGACTCAAGGCGAGGATACTGAACCTCGCATGATTGGGCGTAGCACCCTACAATCTATGTGTCTAGTGTGATCAGTCTGGGTTAAAGCATAATGGTACCTGATGCTTTACTGCATCGCTAGTCGTACTAATAATTGATGCCTCGGTGTCTTGGCTGTTTGCGGAGAGCTATGTGGAAGTGCTGCTTAGAGCTTGATAGTATAGCTATTGTTAAGAGGTGCGTAGCGAGACTGCTGTCAGGAACTGGTTAGTAAGGCCGTTGAGGCCCGGGCAGCGAGCTGCTAGCGATAGGTGAGCAACACGACTACTGAGAGTTGGGAAACAAGACTACCGAGAGTTGGACCACGATGCTGCTCTTTCAGCCCAGCATACTAATGTCGTCTCGGGAATGCACTACCGTGCATAGTATCAACTCTTCGTGTGCTTTAACGCTGCCCCTTCGGAATAAAAATCATTTATGCATAGTGTCGCTAATCCTTCTCCCCCCATTTTTTTCTTATAGGAGGCGGAGAGAGAGAATGTTGGATGCATAGCTGCTGGAATCTGAGCAATACAGCTACTAGAAAGAGCTAGGCGATTCAAGCAGGCCGACAAGAGCTGGGTAGCGCGACCGCTGAGAGCTGGTCAACGCAACTGTTGGGAGGCAGACAACATGGCTGCTGGTGACTAGGCTTTGTGGCTACTGAGTTGGGTCGTATGGCTGCTTATGGCCGGGCTGTATGATTGCTGAGATCCAGGCAGCGCGGCTGCTTCGAACTGAGCAGCGATACCAGTGGGGGCCGGTCAACATGAATGGTGAGAACTGAGTAGTGAGGCTGCCTGAAGTTGGTTAACACGGCTACTGGTAGCCGAGCAGCACGATTGTTGAGGGTTATTTCGAAATGCTTCACGAGTAGCAGTAATGTACTACTCTTCCCCCTTTCTCTCTCTCTCTTTTTTTTTTGAAAACATTGAGATGGTCGGACCGCATCTTATAGAATCAGATTTAGCTTGACTGGATTGGAGCGCACGAGCGTTGATTTTATCTTAAAAAGACGACCCATTTTTATTGTTGAAATGGCCCAAAAATGTGAGATAGCCCAAATGGTCCAATATGGGAGAAACCCAAAATAAAAATATCATAGTAGCAGCCCATTTGTGAATGAGCCCAAATGCTAGATTGTTAGCCCAAATCCTATTTTCTTTGTCTTTTGTTATTTACGCACAAACTGGGAGAATGCCACAGGGCCCATTTGCTATTATTACCTCAAATGCTAATTCTTTATTCATCTTTCCCTCCTTTTTTTGTTGAACGCATTGTGCACAAAACCATAACGCCTCGTTCCCGAGTTTAACAAAAGAAAAGAAGAGAATAGAAAAGAAAGTCACGAGAGAAAAGAAGAGAAAGGAAAGGAAAACAAAATTTTCTTTTGTGTTCCCGAGTTGGAGAGAAATGGAAGGAAAATGAATAATTTTGTTCTTTCTTTTCAAATCCTCCCAAATCGGAAGGAAAGTTAGGAGGGAAAGTGATCCTCCCATTTCTCTCCACTTCCTTCCAATTCCCTCCTTTAATGAAACTCGGGAACACCAATTTCTTTTTATTTCTTCTCATTTCCACCCATTTCCTTTCCTTTCTCTCATTAAGTTGAACTCGGGAACGGGGTGTAAGGGTGGCCCACTATTTTCCTTTCTTATCAATTTTGAACGCAATTTTCCAGCCGCTGTCATGCTTTCTTTCAAGAATCTCCAAGAGGAGAGCGCTGGCGATTGGTGATCTGGTAACTCACGGAGGTATCTCCTTTTTTTCCTATTTAATTTTTTTTTGCGGAAAAAATTTAGCCCAACTTAAGTGCTTGCAGCCCATTTTTGCTTTATAGGTCCGAGTTCTTCATTTTTTTGTGTGTGTGGACTGATCCGGGAATAAATGACAGGCCCACCTTCTTGTTATTAGGTTTGAAAGAGAGACAATTATGTCTCGATCATATAGAGCTGCCAAAAATGAAACGTCGACTGGAGATGTTCTTCTTCCTCTTTGCTTCTCGTTCCATCCGTCGCTTACAGAAGGAGACCGGGATGAAGCTTTCACTGGCGATCTGCTTCTGGGAGGAAATCGCCGCTGGAGGAAAGCGGATGGTGCTCGATGTTTTTGGTTGACAGGTGGAGCTTGGTGGGGCCGGTAGGCTGATCGATTGGCGATGCATTGTTGGATGTCGGTGTTGAGGATGAAGCCTACTATTGGGACTGCCTCGTGATAGTGACTGGTGAGGCTGGTGGTGATTTGGATTTGGTTTCAGTTGCCGGTGTGCCGTCGGTCGGTCGGGTGAGTGTTGGTGGTTCTTCGCCTGGAAATCGCCGACCGGGGAAGCAGGTCGGAATATTAACCTCATTATCGGTGGCTCTGATTTGCTCTATCGTCTGGTGGTAATGATAACGATCAGCAGTAAGGTAGTTGCTGGTGGAGCGATTAGCAGCAACTGGTTGTGGCTTAGATTGAGTTTCCGAGATCGATGTTTGAAGGGAGCCTTGCAGACGGTCTGGTGGTGTTGCAACTCCGGCGAGAGAAGGTCGGGATTTGGGGAAGTTTTTGATTGCCCAAGAAGATGCGATGACCCGGTGGGTCCCAATTCCTTTGTCTTTTCTGAATACTGGACCATTGTGGTTTTGTTATCTAATTTATATGCATATACACTGTATACACTATCCCTTCCCTTTTTTGATTGTCAGCTTGAGATGACAACAAACATGAGCTGTAACGATTTTTCTCTGTGTATATACACTTGTTTTTTTATGCATTTTTTCCGATAGAAATCACTTGCTATTTTTTTTTGAACCATTAATTAAAATGGCAAACTATTAGGTAAAAGTAACTTTCATTTGTTTTGTTTTAAACAAACTTCTTTCTTTCTCAAACTTGCTAGACAAACCCCAAAGTATAAACAAAACAAACCCCAAAGTATAAACAAAACATATCTGAGAGAGTCTTGTAGCTTAAAGTATACATTGAATACTTCCATATCCCTTCATATTTTTCTATACAGTAAACTATGAAAAAGATGGGGTATATCTTTGAGGTAAAAAATCTGATTTAACCGGTTTTGGGATGTACAAGTATTGCAACTGTGTTTACAACTTAAACACACTTGTACCCACAAAGTATTACTGGAATCAATTTTCCATAAAATAAACTTGAATAGATAGCAAAAACTCATTCTCAGGTGGAAAATAGATTTTCTGAAAGTTTGAGAAGGTTCATAAATAGTTTATCTTTTCTTTAAGCTTCTAAACAACTCAAGTAAGCTTGCATACAGAAAATCATAAAATAAATGAGATTTTCTGAAAATATATATAATGAAAGGGGGATAAAACCCGTAAAGAACCTCTTCTCTCTTATTTTTTTTTTCTGAAGAGTTTTGTAAAATGTACAAGCTACATAGCTGTGTGTACAAATAGTTGTTGCAGGGATGGCATTGAACACAAAAAATCATAGCTAAAAAACGATTTTTGGTAATATGTGAACTGAAGATGAGATGAACACTCTTAAAAATTTCTTTCCTACCAACCTGCTGAACAAATCTTATATTATAAATTAAAAATGGATTTGATGTGGTATTGCTCATAAAACTTCATTTTCTTTTCAGCTTGCTCAACAAGCTATCAAGATATAAGCAAGAAACAGATCTGGAAAAAATTTTCGTTTTTCTTTCCTAAACTTTTTAAAGGAAACACCAAAAATACAAACAAAAGTGGGATAAGAGCTCGATTTTTTTTTGAAATGTACAAACATCTCAGCTCTGCTTACAAACAGCTGATGCAAGTGGTGAAGTTGTTCATAGAAAATCTTAACTAAAAACGATTTTCTGATAATATATGGGCTGAAAATGAGATAAAAACTCATAAAAATTTCTTTTATTTTCATCATACTCAACAAACCCCCAGAATATGAACGAAAAATGAATCTAAGAAGATTTTTGCAAACTTTGGGGATGTTGAGTGAAGAAAATCGTGTAGATCTGTAGATCTGAACTAAAAACGAAATGGATCTACAGCTCTGAAAGATTTGTGAAGCAAATTTGGATAGATCTTGGAAAAAACGAAGAAGATCTGAGCAAATGATGGGGTAAAATTCATAAAGAACTTCTTTTCTTCTCAACTTACTGAGAAACCCCCAAAATATAAACAAAAACAGATCTAACAAGGTTTTTTCTCACTAAACCTTCTTTACTCTTTAGCTTGCTCAACAGATCTGAAAATCTTTTGTTTTCCATCTCTAAGCTTCTAGAGGAAGCATCAAATAAACAACTTGAATGAAGTTGTATATGAGAAATCAGGAACCAAAACCAATTTTCTTGAAAATGAGCAAGCAAAAGAGGTGAAGACTTGTAAAATATTATTTGTTCTTCAACTTGTTGAATAAAATTCGAAAATATGAACAAAGGTGGAAAAAAATCATAGAAATCTCTTTTCTCCCCAACTTTCTGAATAATCCATCAAAATATAGATTAAAATGAGATCTGATGAAGTCTTTTAAAACTTGAGGGTTGCTTAGATGAACTAAAACGAAACATATCTAGACATCTGAGCAAAAAACAAGGCAGATTTGAAGATCTAAGCGAGAAAACTCAAACAGATCAAAAGACCTGATCGAAAAAACAAGCAAATAAAAAGATATTTGCATAAAATTAAGCAGATCAACAGATCTGAACGATGGTTAGACAGATCTGAAAAGATCTTGTCAAGAACTAAAATCGATCTGAACAGATCTTGGCCAAAGCCAAACAGATCTGAACCAAATGGTGCTAGAAATGAACAGATCTGAAGAAAGCCTTAACTGAAACGACAGATCTGAACAGATCTAGACAAGAACGAGATGATTTTTGCTCGTTCGAGTCCGGGATGGCGCCAAATGATGCGACATCGGCTTCGACCACCTGCTCTTAGAGAGTGCTTCTACGCCGGAGACAAATCTGCGAGGTCACAACAGACAAGGCCATTAGAGCCGTCCCAGGGACTGTGCCCCGGGAGCGGAATCTGACGGTCAAGTTAGATCGGCTAGTAGATCTGAGATGGTTCTCCATAGCTGGAGGAAACCATCTTGGTGCTAGTGGTGGTGTATGGTGGCTGACGGCGGCGGGTGGCGGCTGAGCCACCCGATCGGAGTATAGTGTGGCGGCTGAGTCATGGGGTCTAGTGGTGGTTGAGAGCCACCTGGGGAAGAGTCTTAGGGAAAAGGGTTCTAGTGGTGGCTGAACCACTTGGGAAAGAGTCCTCCTTCATGGAGAAGGCACTATTCTATTTATAGTGGACAATTAGGTCAAGGGGAATTGGGTCAGGCCTTGGGCCAGCCCAATTCAGGCCCAACTAGCAAGGAGCTGGGCAAGGCCACCCGGAGGTGCCGGGCGGGGCTGGCGAGCGCGCCCCAGGCAAGGCTGGCGGGCATGCACCAGGAAAGGCTGGCAAGGGGGCGCCAGGCAAGGGAACGCTAGGCCGGGCTGGCAGGAGAGTCCCCGGCAAGGCTGGCAAGGGAGTGCCAGGCAAGGCTGGCAGGAAAGTCCCCAACAAGGCTGGAAAGGGAGCGCCAGGGAAGGCTGGCAAGGGAGCGCCAGGCAGGGCTGGCAGGAGCGCGCCAAGCCAGGCTGACGCTCTGGAGCAGTCTAGGCCATGCTAATGGACCATATATCATCAGGCATAGAAACAAGAATTATGTCAGCACGAAAGGTTATAAACCTCAAGTCGTGTGCTAGTGATAAACTACATGTTTTATTCTTGATTAGTTCTTGAAACTCTTTCAGGATCTTTAAGACTCCCACTGTCCTCTTGACATATAAGACTCTCTTGCCAAGAATCATTCATTGAAAAAAAAATATTCAAGAGATAGTGTGGATTCTTATCAAGACAAACACTTCACATAATTGGCCTTAGTTGGTCTCTGTTTTATCCAAAACATCACAACTTACCAATTTCAAATGTACAAGAGTAGAAAACATTTTAATCTTCATTTGTCAAGTGTTATAAACCTTCTTTAGATTATATCACTCAAGTCACAATCTTGGAGTATGACTCTAAGACTTGTTTTGGAACGACGTATGGTTCATCTTTTTGTTTTTTGATTTTAACCATTTTAATAATTCATGACTCCTCTTCTTAGCCATAAGAATGCACTAAGATGTCCTTAGAGGATCAATTGTGATATGGTTTCATTAAGATGATCATAAAACATGATACGAAAGTACTCTCCCATCTTTTCAGATTTGAGAAACTTTTATCTTTCTGCCTAATTTGAATCTTCTCATTCGTTCTGACATACATCGAAACTTTTCCAACGTTTCAGAATTATACTTAAACTTGTAAGTATAACCATATTTACTAAACTTTAGTAAATCATGACGAATAGTCTTATCGATCTTTGTGGTGGACTTGACCAGTGCACAAGAATGTGTACTCGATCCCTTAGTCCTTCACTTGACTCACATATACATGTGAACAAGGAATTAGTCTTGATTTTCCAAATATGAAAATTCTCATGCATCATACAATACAACTTGCATGATTCCAAGTTTCTGTCCAATTGAAACTTGGGTGACGAGAATCTTTCCTTACTTGGTAAATTTAGACACTACCACAAAAGAAGGAATCAAATCCATTTTCCAATATTACTAGAAACATACAAACATCAATTTTTCATAAATGCCATTGCAAGGAGATACAATAAAATAAAACAAAATTTAATTTATTTATAAAATACGGAAAAAACTTATCCTTACAATGCAACTTTAAATGAAAAATATGCTATTACATATTTCCTAGCAATCTATCATAACTCCTAAGCAGCAACTCAAAAATCCGATCTTCGAACCATGCGATTGAAATCCATCTTCGCGATCAGATTCAACATACTCTTCCTCTAAGTTTCCTTACCTTTGCTTGATCCTGAAGCAGAGTCAAACTTTTTGATTCTTCCTTCTCTCAGATCTTTCAGGTAGTCAGGGCAGCTTCGCAACCAATGCCCCTTTACAATAAAAACATATAGACTCGTTGGGAATGGTACACGGGACTATCACAGACTTAGCCTTTCCCCTTTTGGTCAACCGGGTTGACTAAGGCCGATCCCTTTCCATTAGGAAGAGAAAGATTTTCCGGACTTCCAATGTTACCATTGTCAATGTCCATGGAAGTTTGAGAAGTAGATCTTCCACCCAATTTT